TTGTATGCAAATTATAGGGCATGCTCAAAAGAACAACACTTGTGAGGTACTGAGGGAGGAAGGAGTAGCACAGATAGAAACTGAACTGTGATACAGTCACAACAAAGGCCTCAGCTAATCCTGTTGGGCACTCTGAAGCTAGGATGGCCTTTCAAAGTTGCCCAAAATTGAAGTGGGAGGTCTGGCCTTTGCATACCTACATCATCCCACCACTGGACATAGGCTGCTTCCAGAAGAGAACATAACCTTAGGGGAGGCAGTTGTCTTCATATGAGGCCAATTCTCCAAAAGTTGGAGAAATTAAGTGCCTCTGGCCTGAAAAGATGTGGCAGGGGTGGGAGTGGTTCTGGAAGCACAACACAGCAGCCATTACAACAAATGTAATTGTATCTCTGCTGGCTGAATTTTATCTATTAATACTTTCATTAATCTTTTGTGTATTTAAAAAAATTCTGTTTATCTTCATTTTCCTCTTCTTTATTTCCCTTTCTTCACAATGCTTTTTCTCTTCTCTTGTATTCCTTCCAAGTTAGTCTTCATTTATGAATTTTTTCTTTTTATAATCATTTTCTTATTTCTATCCGTTTTTGTTTCACATCCTTCTGGTGTTGTCTCTTTCTGGGTTCTCTTTTTGATTCACGCTGTTTCAAAGCTTTAAATGTTTTCTTTCCTTCAGCTCATTTAAAAATACTAGGTGAGAGTTTTCATCTGCTTCATGTCTGCATTTTTCTTGTTTGTTCACATCTCATCCTACAGGTCTTGTCTTCCAAGGTGTTACTATTACCTATAGAAGTTTATTTTGCTGTCATAATGCTTACTGGGATCTGCTTTTTATTGATTATTTCCCTATCCCCTACAATACTGAACTTTCCTTTTCCCTTACCCACAATATTTCTGCCCTGTTCAATTTGATTTCTGAAACTAGCCATTTTCTTTCTGTATGTGGATTTGTTCTTCCGAAGGAAAATATATGCTGGATAGTTCTGAAATCCTCAAGGGCTTAGTTCACAGCTCTCTTTGATTTCTTGATTATTCTGTGCAGTTTTCTTCACATACCAGTAATTCAGTACCTGTGATGACTTCCAATGTTTCAATTCCTCTGAAACCCATTTTCCCAGTTTAGTCAAGAAATAATGATGTCTCGTATTAGGGTGATGGCAGTGAAGATGGAGAGAACTGAATATTAAGAGGTATTTTGGTAATATAAACAAGGGAATTGCTAATGGTCTAATGTAGGATAAAAGAGATGCTCAAAAAATGGTTTTTGGCTTGAGCAATTGGATGAATAGCTTTATAGAAACGGGGGAAACTGGGAGATGAATGATTGGTAATGGCAGAAACAGGCATTCTATTTGGCTATCTTAAGTTCGAAATACCTATTAGAGAGTCATCTGGACATATCAGAGAAATAAATCTTTGAATTGAGAGAAAAAAGACTTAGATGTTACTTCCTTTGGGAAGCCTATCCTGAATGCTCTCTTCCTATCCCATTAAGCTTATTATCCTTGCTACCCACAGCATCCTTTATCACTCCTATTGTAACCTTTATCAAATTTATATTGCAATTGCCTATTTATTGGTCCATTTCCTCTGTTGGACTGTGAGCTTTTTGTGGAACAGAAGCTGTGTTCATTTTTTTTCTCAGGTTCCTTCCTGGCACAATGCTGGCAGTCAGCTCTTATTTGTTCAATGCGTGCATAAAACAGGACAGTCAATTCCATTTTTTTCTATAGCTCCAATTTTTGAAAGTTATTTTCCAAATTTGGCCAACACTTGCCTCCTTGTATTTTCCAACCAGTTCGGGATTTATCTCTGTAGTTAAGTGCTGTTAACTTGTTCCAAATACTGTCTTCAATATATTTGCCTCTGATTATATGTGACTTTATATCTGGGTGAGATATCTTTCAAACCAAACATGTAATATAACCCTCAACTTTTTCACATGTAATATCTTATACTATGTCTCCTCAAATATGTTTCTATATTGAAATACCCAAATGTAGGATTTATTATTTGTACTATTAAATTCATCTTAGTGGATTCAGCATTCAACTCCAGAAGTGAAGATCATTTTGGATCCTGCATATATATGTAAATATCTTGATTTATATATACTCTTACCTCCAAGTGCTCAGAGGCAGAAATTGGGAGCAGAGCAAATGTGCCAAAGTTGAGCTCCAGGACCTTGCCCCCAGCTTCAACCAGAAATTTATGTTTTGAGGTTAACACAAAGTTTATTTTATGGTGAGGTAAACACAAAATTTATTTTTGGCAAAAAAGCTTCTGTTCTAAAATTTTTAAAAACCACTTCTAGAGCAAGCCACTGGTGAATTCTCCAAGACTGTAACCAATACCATACCCTTTTCCCTCCCTGCACTTGCCATACCATCGAATTTAAATGGTTTTAATTTTTAAAATTTGCATGACTTACCTACTGTAGATTAAAATTGTGTGCAGCTAATTTTAATGAATCATTGTATCTATTTATTTTGAAAAGTCCACCATACTCTTAGTAAATATTTTTATGATATGTCGTTATGAATCCCCCCAGCTTTAAACACAAAATAAACTTCTGCAAAAGAATTTATCAATTTTAAAAATGCTGGAAACTCAATTGGTCTTGTCTTGTACTTTCTGTGAAAAATGCTGCATTTTTGGTGTGCTCAGAAAAGAGAACTTACCAATTTTGGGCTGATAATTCACAGTCTACTTGTTTTATCCTGGTTCTTATTTCCCCTCTCTTTTCACCAGTATACCAGATGTGTTTTTAAAAGGGGGGTAGTGATATTGTAGCATAAAATAATCTTATACCAAGTCTCATAGAAGAAAAGTTGATTTGGGGATGATCTAACTCTCATTGGGACTACTTATCCATCTAGGTATAAACCCAACCAATCATATTATGCTTCAGCTCACATTTACCATTTTATTCAAATCTCAAAGAAAAAAACCCATTAAATGTTTTGTCTAAATGCAGATCTAACACCATCTAAACTTATTTGCTTTTTCGATAGGATTAACACATGAAAGGAATATTATAACCTATTTTTTCCTGTTCCTGGTGACTTCATGTTGGATTCCAATGATATTCTCACAAGGTCACACAGCAACCTGATAGTGCAACTGAGACCAGAATCCCAGGATTTGTATTCCCAGGCCATTATATTTTCTACTATACCACAGTGATATTTAAATGCTTACAGGAGGTTCTGATCATAAAAAAAGGGAGCACCAGAGTTAAAAATAAATTTGTCAAAATCAAAGAATTTAAATGTAACACATTCTCATGGCCCTCTACCACCTATAAATTCTTCCTTCCTCAGTTCCAAGCATTTAGTTGGTCACAGTTTTCTAAACTACAACTGAACTTGAGACTGAATATTAGCTTCTACTAGGCAAGATATAGAAGAAATAAAATTATTAAAAGTTTACAGTTTGATCTCCTGAGAGGTATTAAGTGTAAATGATTTAGTTATTGCCCCCCACACTCCCAAAATAATCATCTTTGGATGGGAAATGATCATATACATAAAACAATATGTAGAAATTAAAACACTTTAATATAAACATTTCCAGAATATAGACTGATTTTGTATCAGCGCTTTTTCAGAGCTTTTTAAAACTATATATCATCTAAGTTTATTATAGACTGTTTCATTTTCCACTTTCAGAACTAGAAAATACAAAAATACACTGCAAATTAGGTTTAACAAAGAAAAAAAATCAGTCTAATTTGTTTCATACATTTTCCTTGGAGAAAGCCAAGAAACATGAACACACACACACACAAGATATCACCAACACAAACCAAAACAAGGAATGAATTCTGCAACATCTGATAATTCTCATTTAAAATAAATTATTTCCCATGAGTAAACAGTTCACTATCACAGCAATATGATGAACAGAAGTAGAGACAACTTCATTTAGGGAAATTACATTATATGTAAGAAACATGTAATAATTTTTTGTTTTCCTTTTTTTTAAGAAAATGAGGGAAAGTAACTTGAGGAAAAGGCATACTGAATACTTGTACTTCACTTGGCTTTTGTTAGATATTAAAGTAACATCCACCTAGAAAAATTCAAATAACATGAACCTCATGAAACCAATCTCTTCAACTTACTTCTTCAACCTTGAGAGAACAAAACTATAAAGTTCACAGTTCAAGAGTAGACTCATCCCAAAGCACTGACTTGTCTGTCTTTTCTTCAACAGGTTTCTTTTTGTTATGTTCTTCTTGTGTTCTTATGTTCTTGTTTCTCAGAGACTAGGTTTAGGCATTTTTGTTTCTTTCAATTAAATTTCAAGTTTTACAAAAAAAAAATCAGTTTTCCTAAACTGACACTGACTGTATCTACCTCTCCTTTTCTTCATCTGATGCTTTTGTTTTTGTCTAAACCCATTTTCTTAATTTATTTCTTCAATTAATCTTTGAGTAAACAAACTAAAAGTTCAAAATCCAAGAGCAGACTCATCCCAATACATTAAATCTTCTACCTTTTCTTCAACAAGTTTCCTTTTCTCTCATGTTCTTTCTATGTTATGTTCTTTCTCAGAGGCTAGGTTTAGGCTTTATAATTCTTTTTCAATTCAATTTCAATTTTTACACAAATAATTTGTTTCTGAACTGACACTGACTGTATCTACCTCTCCTTTTCTTCATCTGATGTTTCTGTTTTTGTCTAAACTCATTTTCTTAACTTATTTCTTTAATTAATCTTTGAGTAAACAAACTAAAAGTTCAAAATCCAAGAGTAGACTCATCCTAATATATTAACTCTTCTACCTTTTCTTCAACAGGTTTCCTTTTCTCTCATGTTCTTTCTATGTTATGTTCTTTCTCAGAGGCTAGGTTTAGGCTTTATATTTCTTTTTCAATTCAATTTCAATTTTTACACAAACAATTTGTTTCTGAACTGACACTGACTGTATCTACCTCTCCTTTTCTTCATCTGATGCTCCTGTCTTTGTCTAAATACATATTCTTAACTGTTTTCTTCAATTAATCCCTGGGTAAACAAAAGTTCAAAATCCAAGAATAGACTCATCCCAAAGTATCTCCTCTTCTGTTCTTTCTTCAACAGATTTCTTTTTCTCTTTTTTGTGCTTACGTTCTTCTTTCTCAGAGCGCATGTCATGGCTTTTCTTCTTTTTTCGATGCTTAAGCTTTCCTGAACTGACCCTGACTTTATCCCTCTCTCTTTTCCTTTGTCGGATGCTCTTATCTTTGTCTAACTCCGTATCCTCATAACTCTTTCTCCTTTTATGCTTGGATTGCTCCTTCTCAGGCCTTTCTTCACCTTCTTCCAGGTGTCGCCTTCTCTTCTGATGTCTCCGTTTATGACCTGCTTGATGGTCACTGGTCTTATTTTCTGAGGAGTGGTGCTTGTAAACTTCAGATTCTACACTGTATGGGTCAGAGTTATTTTCTTGCTGATTAAGGCTCAAGGGTACTGGTTTTTCTGGGAAATAATCTCTGGTGGGCGGAGAGTAGTTAGTAGAGTCTAGTCTTTGTTTGCTGTCATGAGCTGGTAAGCAATGAGGTAACTGGTTCTCCGCTGCTTGTGAAATACTGTATGGTCCGGGATAGGCAGGAAAAGTCTCAAATGGGAGTCTTTGCTCTAACATTCTATGTTTGGGTCTGACATCAACCATTTCTCTGTACCTATGTGTTTCCACAGAGCTATCACCTGTGTTTCTGAAACAAGTCCTTGGCTCTAGACCTCTGGCTTTCTGCACTTTGATGTAATCTTCAAGTTCATCTTGGAAAGAATCATATGTCCTCTTTGAATGAGCTGGTAACCCATGAGGTAACTGGCTTTCTACTGGTGAAATATAGTATGGTCGCTGGTAGGTCTGGGAAGTCTCAAATGAAAATCTTTGCTCACTCATTCTTTGTCTGGGTCCAGAATCAACCATTTCTCTGTACCCGCAAGTTTCCATAGGGTTCTCTCTCATCTTTCTGAAACAAGTCTTTGGATCTAGTCCTCTGGCTTTCTGCACTTTGATGTAATCTTCAAGTTCGTCTTGGAAAGAGTCATATGTCTTCTGTGAATAAGCTGGTAAGCAATGAGGTAACTGGTTTTCCACTGCGTGTGAAATATTGTATGGTCCTGGGTATGTCTGGAAAGTCTCAAATGGTAGTCTTTGTTCAAACATTCTATATCTGGATCTGGAATCGACTGCTTCTCGGTATCGACGGGTCTCCAAAGAACTCTCTTCCATCTTTCTGAAGCAAGTTTTGGGTTCTAGTCCTCTGGATTTCTGCACTTTGATGTAATCTGCACACTCATCTTGGTAAGAGTCTTGTGTCTTCTTTGAATTCTTCGCTAGATTCATAGCAATGGATTCTCTATAAAGAAGACAGTAGAAAATTCTTGTTACTAGATTATTTTATTCTGAATATTTTCTTTGCTCTCAAAAATATTAGTCTGAAAAACAAAAACAAAAGCCCAAACAGATTTTAAAAACCTCTCTCATTATAAAAGCTGTAAATCATAATTATTTTATGCCAAAAAGAAGCAACAGGGATAGTGACATATCTTCTAGACACTTCCCAATTTTTATACAAAAAAAAAAAAAAAAACAACACCTTTGTCAGGCCTGGGATGAAAGGGAGGGTGGGTACAAAGGAGTAGACATATTTGATACTGTTGTAACACTGAAAGTGTTAAGGCATGTTGTGATGTGTGGGTAAGGACCAATAATACTTAATGTCCTGACAGATAGTCTGTCATGTCCTTTTTAAAGTTTCCATTAGTCAGCTCCTTATACAGATCTATAAATGTGACAGGTATTTATTCTGGAACCCTGAGATTTTTTTTAAAAGTCTAAATCTATATACCATGGAGTACTACTCAGCCGTAAGAAAGAATAAAATATTGTCTTTTGCAGCAACCTGGATGGAACTGGAGGCCATTATCCTAAGTGAAGCAACTCAGGAACAGAAAAGTAAATGCTGCATGTACCCACTTATAAGTGGGAGCTAAACTATGGCTACATAAGGACACACAGAGTGGCATAATGGACATTGGACACTCAAAAGGGGGTAGAGGTAGGGGGTTACGGATGAAAAATTACTCATGGGGTACAATGCACACTATTCGGGTGATGGGTACACTAAAAGCCCAGACTTTACCACTATGCAATGCATACATGCAATGGAATTCAACTTGTACACACTAAATCTATTAAAATAAAAAAAAAAAGGCCTGCAGTACTGATTAGAAGGCATTTAATCTGGTTGCATATGATGTTCTAGGCTTGTGTTCCTCAGTCTTACTGTTACTCTTCAAGTAAAGTTTAAGAAGCAATAATTCTAAAAAAAAAGTCTAAATCCTAAATCTATCCAGGCATGGTAGCACAGGCTCTCTGTAGTCCCAGCTACTTGGGAGGCTAAGGCAGGAAGGTCACTTGAGCCCAGGAGTTTGAGGCTATGGTGCACCATGGTTGTGTGAATAGCCACTGTACTCCAGACTGGGCAACATAGTGAGATGCTGTCTCTTTGAAGAAAAAAAAAAAGGTCAAAATGTAGGTTAATTTTGCAAGTCAGACAATTTAGCTCCTAAGTATTTGAACTCAAATAATATAAATATTTCTACTTGAATAAAATAATGTAACAGAAATACTATGTCATGATTTCATTTATTTATTTATTTATTTATTTATTTATTTATTCAGGATATTATGGGGGTACAAACATTTTGGTTACATGTAATGCTGTTTGCCCCACCCAAGCCTGGGCTACAAGTGTGTTTCTCCCCCATACAGTGCATTCTGCTTCCATTAGTTGTGGGTTTACCCCTGCCCCCCGCCTCCCGACTGGCACCCAGTGAGTTTTACTACCATGTGAACACCTTAGTGTTGGTCAGTTAGTACCAATTTGATGGCGAGTACATGTGGAACATGTTTTTCCAGCGTTGTGATACCTCACTTCGAAGGATGGGCTCAATCTCTATCCCGGAAAATATAAGGGGTGCTAGATCACCATTGTTTTTTGTAGTTGAGTAGTATTCCATGGTATCCATATACCACATTTTATTAATCCACTCATGTATTGATGAGTGAGATATCACCTAACTCCAGTGAGAATGGCCCTTATCAAAAAGTCCCAAAACAACAAATGCTGGCATGGATGTGGAGAGACTGGAACACTCTTACACTGCTGGTGGGACTGCAAATTAGTACAACCTCTGTAGAAAATAATCTGGAGATACCTCAAAGAGCTAAAAATAGAAATACCATTTGATCCAGCAATCCCACTAACTAGGCATCTATCCAAAGGAAAAAAAGACATTCTATAATAAAGACATCTGCACTTGAATGTTTATAGCAGCACAATTCACAGTATGTCTTGATTTTAAAAGCAATAAGCCAAATATACAATAGTTAAATGCCCCTCTGTCCTGCTACCTGAACTACCCAGTCCCCAATTGTCCACTCAATTCTTCTCTCTTTAAAATAATAGAATACAATGGATTAAACATTAATTAAGCTCCTACTATGTGCCAGGCCAGGAACCTTACACATACTCTATTTCATCATAACAATCTTTTATCAGAGCTGTCCAAAGTTACATACTTGGTAGAAAGATGGATCTGGTATTCTAACCTAGGTTTGTCCATCAGTAAGACCTCTGTTCTTAACCACTACACTTTACTGGAAGAGTGACTGGATCACTGAATCCCTGGAACTAAGCCAACCTTCCAGAGATTCTTTGAGTTTGTGTGGTTAGCATGAGAGTGATACTTTAGCATTTCTCCAAAGGACACTGCTGTCTGGTCAGGAAGGGTACCAGTTAGCCAGCTCTGCCAGTACACTACCATGACTAGAGAACACCATTAAGGATGTTAGTGTGCAGTATGTTACAAATACCGCTGACCATATCCTGGTTCATAGGGAAATGAATGCCTAGAAATTCTGTAAAACACATGAAACTGTGTTTGGCTCTGGTATTTGGTGTCATAAAAACATTCTGACAAAAATACTTACCGAATTTGATGTTCACTTCCTCGCATGTGGAACCGGAACATATCTAAAGATGTAAAAGTGATACTACAAATATGGCAAACGTAGGTTCTTGTATTAAATGCTGAAAAAACAAGAGAGTTCAAGTTATGGTCAGTAAGGATACGCATAGAATCACATAATGTTAGAACTGGACAAAAATTTATTAGAGATCACCTACTTAAAATTTCTCAATAAAGATACGGCCCAGAGAGGTCAAATCACTTGCTCAAAGTCACCGAGCCAGTTAGTAGTAGGATTAGCTTCTCAGAGTCCATGTCTCTTAAATTAATGCCCAGAATTCTTTACGCTACACAACACTGCTTCTCTAGCCTTGATCTCTTCCCTAAGAATCTGCTATCTGCCTGCTTATTGTTGCTACGTGGAGGTGCTGTAGCCACCTCAAATTCAGCATGCCCAACCGACCTTTGCCTCTGAATTGCTCAACCAACCTCTTTTTATTTGCCCTTAACTCTCTTTCCACCCAACCAAAACCTGAAACATCCCCAAATATTAAAAACAAATAAAATCAAATTTTTACTCTCTTACCTGAAATCACTGTAGTGTATTAGTTACCAAAATTAATTTCCACAGATTTTAGAAAGGAGAGAGGTTCAGTGAGCCCCACTCTCAGGATAAAAGCTGAAAGCAAAATTCTAAAACATAACTACTAGTTACCACTTCCAAAGAGTCAAGAACTATAGAAGAGCAACTGTACACCAGCTAGCTAACTATTCTGCTTCTTAGGCAGAATTAGAAGCAGGGATAAATTAATTTTTATTTTCTTAGTCTCATCATCCTTCTACTTTCTCTTTGATCAGAAGAAGCAAAATAACAAATTTCATAAGTCAAACATAAACACAATCCCATCCTAGGGAGGAGGCAATAAATTGGTGGTTGCAGAGATTTTTAGGGACAACCAAGGTCTTTCTTAAAAGGTTGCTTCTTTTAAATAAAACAGTAACCTAATAAGTTAAAGGAAGCTAAATTAATCATTATCAAGTGTATTGGCCATGTCTGAATAAAGATTATTCATAGAAACATTGTTAGACTACTGGTAAAGAGAAAGAATAATGCTAACTTAAAGAGACTCTGCTCAGTATTGACATATACTCTATTGTGGGCCCAGGAGAGCTCAGCAGGTTGTGTCAAAATATGAATGAATGATTCTTCAAAATTACCCTTCCTCTCCATGCTATGATTTCATGCTCACCAAGTCATTTTCTGTTTATAATCCATTTCCCATATTCTTTGATATTAAGTAAAGGATACCATGGATGACAGACATCAAGAAAAACTGGGAACTGGAAATATATATCTCCTTTTACCATAAATCAATACCAGAATGATAATACATTAACTTAAATTACAATGTTTCCCAGCCTTCTCTGATAAGAATCACTTAGGGTATCAATTTAAAATATAGATTCCCAGGCCCCTCCCTTGGAAAACACGATTCAGTCTTTCACAGCAATGGGGAACTTGTATTTTAACAAGTAAAGGCAAATGATTATCAGAGACTTTGTGAGAAATATACTAAATATCTTTCCAGTTCCTCAGTTATTTATCAGCCTTTTTCAAGTCTGTTTGTGTTATGAGTCCCTGATTTGAGGCTGAGCAACTGTAAAGATTATGGACTTCCTGCAAAGCTAAGGACCAAACCCAGGACCAAACCCAGGACTGTGCCTCTTCATACAACCCTTTTCATGAAATACTTACTATCTTTATTTTACAGGTGTCAAAACTAAGCTCAGATTAACTTGGCCAGTACCATATATTTTGAAGGTGCTCAAGTTATGCAAGATAAGCAGGAGTCTTGGTTTCCTCTAGATTAGTGGTTCTCAATGCTGATTATACATTAAAATCATGCGGAAAACTTTTAAAATATTCGTGTTACAGCTCCACATCAGACCAATTAAATCAGAATCTCCAGAGGTACAACCAGGCTTTCTTACTTTTTGAAAGCTTTCCAGATGATTTTACTATCCAGCCACGGTTGCACACCTGCCCTAGATTATTGAGCTAATGATCTTCATTATGATTATAAACTGAGATTATATTTCAGAAGCTTTATATATTTATTTAGTGCTTATAAAGTTTACTCTATATAGTGTCCTCCTCAGTTCCTCCTCTGTTTCCCCACAAATTCCATCAGAAGTAAGATTTTAACAGAGGTAATATAGGGGCTTAGAAGAACTGCTGGTCACATATGAAAGATCCAGAGGCAGTTCTAGAACTGTGGTCTGATTACCATCATCTTAGTCCTTGGCTTCTCCACACACTGATATTCTTTATCTTTTTCAAGGACATAAACATCTCGGAAAATAATATATGAAAACTATGTGAATCTTTTCTGTGAAGATATAAAGCCTATGTACTGCCCCAAGGTCAGAATTCCTGGTCAAATTCTCCATAGTGGGACCTGCCTCCATTATGTTTCTTACACTCTCCATTACTTTATCCCCAAGATATCTCCTTGGCCCTGTTCTGCTTTTGGCTGTCCTGCTCTTGGCCTTGTTCGGATTCCTTGGTTCTGAGTTCACCCAAAAACTAAGGCTTCTTTGCATCTTGTACCTTTTAGAATCTTCCACAACTTAACACTTGTGGGGTCCAGAAGTGCATGTCTTTATAGTCTAATATTGTGGTTCTCAATCTTGGCTCCATATCAGAATCACTTGGGGAGTTAAAAAAGAGAAAACAAAACACTGATGCATAGGTCCCAGAGATGGTAATTTAATTGATTGGAGGGATGTGGCCAGAGCATTGGGATTTCTAAAAGCTTACCACATAATTCTAAGAAGTAGTCAAGGTTGAGAACCACTGGTCTAATATCTTAAATGGGGGAAGAAACCAATTGAGAGTTACATATAAGTAAAACTGCAGCTGAACATTTATCTTATGAAGAAAAATAGAAAATGTCCAATTTACCTGTTCTTAGATTATGACAGGAGGACAAAACATTTTTAAAAACCTAACATTTGTTGAGAACCTATTCTGTGATGGGTAGTGTATATATTTTTTATTTCAGCCTTATTTAATCCTGTGTAGTTGTATTATTTTCATTTTATATCTGAGGAATCTGAAGCAAGAGACTTCAAGTATATCTCCAAATTTATGTTCATCCCTATATACAATACTGCCTCTCAATAAACAATTAGAAAATATGAATTAAGAAAAACTGTGTATTCATTATCATATAGAGAACTGAGAAGGATATTACAGAATAAAACATAATCTTTTATCTCAAGGATGCTAATTCACTTGAGGGGCTATAGTTGATGCAATGAACAGTAAAGCCTATGAGAAATCAAAGAAAGGGGAGAATACCAACAGCCAGAGCAGTGAGGGAAGTTGTGATGGATCTTGAAGGACAGGAATAATTTGTATTATAAAGAAAGCAGATAAGGGCACTCCAGGGGATGAAAACAATATCAGGTATGGCAGAGACAGAAATGAACATGACAGCTGAATCCAAATAATCTGTTCAACAAATACTGAGTACCTATGTAGCATCATGCTAGATGCTAGGGTATACAAGATGAATAAAACAGCCAGGCTGTCCACAAGTCCAGTGTGAGAAAGATTATGTGAACAAAGGATTTCAGTCTCACTTGCTAAAAGTAAGAGAGGCATGCTTAAGAGGTGTGGGAGTGCAAAGAAGCAGAGAAATTTAGCACAGTATGGGGGTCTGAAGAAGGCTACTGGAAGAGATGATACTTTAGCTAAACGTGGAAGAATGAAAAATGGTTAACTTGATGAAAAAGCTGAGAAGACCTTTCTAGGCACAGAAAATAGAATGCAAAAACTACAGAAGTGTTTATAGGAACTTCTCAGAATTGTTATAGCGTTAAAAACAAAAGGATGAGATGGGAAGAGGCAAAAAGGGATCAGATCAAAGAGAGACTTACATGTTATGCTAAGGAGCCTAGATTTTTTAGTCTGTGCTCTGGGAAATCTTGAAGTGGTGTAAATAATAAATGACACAGTTGGTGAACTGTGTGTTTTAGATGAATCTCTCCTCTGGCTGCAATACAGAGGATGAAGTTAAGAGGAGCAAGTCTAGGAATAAGGAGACCACAGTTATGAGGTGAATACACTGACCAGGCAAGAGATAATGAGGACACAGACTAGAAGGGTCTCAGTAGGGGTAAAGAAAAAAAGGGAGACTGGTAAAATATTTAACTTTAAAACTGACAAAACTTAGTGACTGACTGAACACGAGGGATAGGGGAGAGGAAGGAATCTAGAGGAGTATAAAATAGCTCCCAGAAACCTAGTTTGGTAACTGGGTGGGTGGTGACCCCATTAACTGAAATTGGAACTTCAGCAGGAAGTATTGGTTTAGGGGATGAGAGAGTAAGTAATGGTGAGTATAAGTTTGAACCCACAGAGTCTGAGATATCTCTGAAACTTTCCTGTAAAGGTGTCTGACAGGCAGTTATATATGAGTTTGAAAGGCAGAAGATAGGTCAGAGAGATTTTGGAGATATAAGAACATGGGGGTAGTCAAAATAATCAGAGTGGATGAAATCTCCTGAGGAAAATGTATGCGTGGGCACAGGAATAGCAACATAATGATAAAACCCTGGAGAGTGCCACTCTTTAAACTAAGATGGCAGAGAAGGAGGAACCCATGAAAGCCCACCAAGTAAATGACAGAAAGATATAAGGATAAACAGGAGAGAGTGATGTCAAAGGAGCTAAATAAAGATATCCATTGGATTTAAAAATTTAGAGGTCACTCTGACACTTTGAGTAGTAGTTTCAGTGGAGTAGCAGAGTGGCAGTGTAAAAGCCGGGGGAATGTGTGCCAACAAATGGCAATGAGTTAGAGAAGTGAATAATAAGTGAAAACAGTAAGAGTAGACTACATTGAAAAAAAACTTGGCTGAGAAGGGAAGGGGAAAAGCGTAGTAGTTAAAGGGCAACTCAGGGTTACAAAAGGATTTGGGTAAGGCAAGATACCTGGTAATCCACATCTGATGGACAAATTTTTCTTGATGAAATAAGAAGCTTGTCAGAAGTGTGAGGCGGGGGAATGTAGAGTAGGGGAAGGGAGTCTTGGAGAATGATATAGGTTTAAAA